GCTTATCTTCCTCGCATGCCATTGGAACACAGAGAGACACAGGATTGGCTACGGCCAGGTGGTCCAACATGTCTGCGCCCCAATCCGACGCCACACCACAGTTGTTAGTGTTGTTTTTGAACATATGGTCATGAAGTTGATGCTAAGATTTGGCTCAGAGCTCAAGTTAGCTGAAATTGATGAAGAAGCATTACTAAAAGCTTTGATTGAGGTTGCGGCCTCGTTGTTTCACATCAGTAGGAGCAACGTCCTCGTTGGCCCTGCTCCAACCAAGTTTTTTGGGGCTCCTGATGCTGGTCTGACCATCCGAGACGCTGGAATCTTTCACGGGGATGTTGTGTTCGTAAAATCCCTGGCTGTTTCGGATGACTTGAAGACGTTTCGTTTGTCTGAGGTACGTGTCTATTTGCTGAGATAGTTCCCTAGACTTTTGGTCAGTTGTCAAAATCATCTGAAAAGTTTGGAGACTATACCGGGCAGGTAGAAATCAAACTTGCGCTGCTTCCTCTAGATGTCTGCGCTAGGACGAAAGGCCTTGCGGTAAAGTGTTCGGCACCAGTGATTATCTGTATTGCCTGTAGGGAGGTATTATAACCAAATCGACGTCTGAACTCGCTCAAGTCGAGTACAGCTATGGTAGTGAGGTGCGGGCGTCAATCGTGTTTAAAGTTTACCTTTGTGGCGTCTGTATGTGTTATGCTGGTAAACCATCGGATATGCCTAGCTTGCATTTTAGCTGGTGTCACGAATCTAGATATCCGAAACCACTTTGCTGTGAAAGTCGAAGATTATTTTGTCAGCCCTCACCAGGTTGATACAGGTGCTACTCTTGGATTTCGTCATCATGATTGGTGTCGTTTTAGAAGCCCGCGAAAATTATAATGTGCTTTTTAAGCATCCTCAGGATCTTATTGCTCGACTGTCAGACGAACTGTTAGAACAGATTTTAGTTGATATTCACGATAGTAAGTCAACTGCGTTTTCCACTAATATGTTTTTCATTAACACAATTCCTAATAGTTGGGAAATTTACCCAAACTTCCCGCTTTAGCCATTTCGCATATTTCAGCGACACTTGCCGATTTCATGGCACAAATCATCTGTTGAAGAAGAATCAATAAAAATAGTTGCAACCGATGTCGTAGAGTGCAGCTACAGGGAACACCGAGGGATTTTTAATGTCTATTGCAGCTAGCGTATTTTTTATCAGCTATTATAGGTAGTCTTATCTAAATGCTGTTTGTTCCGCTGAGAATAGACAAATGCTGTGTACTATTTAAACGCCTCTCGTTAATTTCCCCCCTTAGAGTTCCGTCTGCCTTATCGTGTCGGTCTTCTGACCCTTCCCGAATCTGTTCTGGTGAGATTTGTCACTTTCTGAACCCGTAAATATCGTGTAGTCTACTTATTCCCCGCGTTTTTCTCAATTCTAAATCTCCCAACACCTAAATTTTGTAATTTTGTAAGTAAAGCATTCGAATAAGTCTCCTAAAGAGCGGTTAATTGGTGGCCTTGAGGATGTTTGTGGTTGGATACAGAGATTAGGAAGTTCCGGCCTCACGAGTTCGCTTTTTTTACCGTTTACAGATACGCATATTGAGTCCGCTGGCAGTGGTGGATCTGGTCCGCGTGTCGTCGACCTGTCGCAAGCTCAATGCCTTCATTAGGCAGTGCGAAGCGATTTGGCGACGCCAATTAACCGACGCGTCCGTGGTCTTCGGGCCCGCGGGTAGGCTGTGTTGAGGTAGCCTCTTGCAACGCGCTATATATATCCGAGTTGTCACGGTTTTTCTTCCTTCCTTCTACTCAGCTACTGACGTGTGCCACGAGGGCTCCACTGAGGCAGATACCGAGGCTCCGTCACTTCAGACATTGAAAATTTTGTATCGCCGAAAAAAATCCAAGGTATGGTGTCCCCGTTTTACATGCTCTACTGACAATGTAATCCTCATGATGTGTATGAGAGTGGAGTAGAAACCGGTCTCCTTTGGAGCCGTCGGTAGACACCGTCTTCAGCTAGTCTACCAGATTTGGCCACGCTTCTTCTACAGTTGGAAACTGTGTTTCACGTACTCCTTTACATCAATTAATTTGGTCCTCATTTGAAGCGCCTTCAGCCTGCAGTGGCTGATCTCGGGGGAGGAAATTCCAGTAATTTTTGTTCTGTTCGTTGTTAAGTTTCATTCTTGCGGACTCCAGCAGTTGTCGGAATCCGGGCTCCGAATTGCGTCTCCTTTTAGGCTGGACTTCCCCGTCTTCGGCCAATCAGTATATTTGAATTGCTGGACGTGCGATATCCCCTGGATCTGCAGGACCTGTTTGCGTAGCAGGTCAATCTCCAGTTGCCAGTCGGATTTGTACTCGTTGTTGTGCGATCTGCAGTCGATCTCAATGGTTTTTTTCCTAAATTACTACTGTATTTGTGGATATTTGTAAATATTTGAACGTTTTTTATGAAGTCCTATTCTTGGGATTGCGCTTTGTGTGGCGAAAGGAACTACGAAACGTTGCACAACAACTATGCCAGCTTTAATCTCAATTGCTCGCAACTGTGGAAGTGTTACTGATGCAAGGAAAGGTGTCGACGTCTCTAGCCCTTGAAATTGTAGTGAATTCTATTGATTCATGTCCAGTAACCCAGTCCTCGCAGCCTCCAACACACATTTCCCCTTTTCACGACGTGCCCGTCAGTCACGTGAGGCCGCCGGTTCGTTAACCCCTCTGCATGTCCCACCACCACCCCCACTTTAGTCATGTGACCTCAGAGACGCCTATGTTTATGTTTACATGACCACTCAACTGTAAAAGTACTCGACACAACTTTGTTGAGCTGCCTAGTAAAATGATCATGCCTGCCATCTCAGGACTTATTTTCTTCCTTGGTTACTTCGTGTGGTACTGCGGCGTCAACAAAATATTCGCAAGAGCCTTGTGTCTCCGTTTTAGGATTTCCGTGCTTATCGTCCAGCCTTGTCTCTGATTGGCTGTTCGCATTCCCCAAAGGCCAATAAAACGCATTAGAACAGGTGATTGGTTTCCACTTCTGGCGCTGCACTAGGCCAGACACGAGTGCCGAACTTGAGAATTCCACAGCATTTGTGTTTTGTGAGTGGGCTTGAATAAATTTTGAGCTGTGTTTCGCCCTACCACATGTTACTTTGTTAATCAGGAAGCTACGAGTGAGATAAATCTAGTAGTCAATAGATTGAAGAACACACCTAATTCTACCACACCCTTGATGTGAATTCGTAAAGAAATTTTGAGGAATTAACACTAATTGCTGTTTAAATGGAATTGTACTCTGAATTGTTATTAAAATCCGCAATTGAAGCTGATGTTCGGTAGTTCCACGTTTGGTGAACTAGCTGCTAATGAGTTGCGAGAGCGTGGAGCCCCGATGATTTGAACTAGATTCAAAGATTTAAACAATGACAAAAGCCAGAAACGGACAAACTTTCAAAATGCTAGTTTTGTTGTGAATCGTGTCTATTCACACCCCTTAATCCGGTCGCCCTACCTCCGACACAGGGTTCCCCTTTTTCGCAGCACGCATCTGAGGTATAAATACACACGCTCAAACCCCACACACTAACACAGCTTTGACAAGTTCTCGAATAAACGGTTGACTCTCTGCCCTTGCACAAACTTTATCCTTGCTGGGTTGTTAGTGGCATATGGCGTCGCATCAATTTTAAGAAAAAAATCCCAGTAATCACCTGCATAAGTAAATATTGTGAAGGGTTTTTAGTTTTCTGTCGAAACAGGGGGTTCAAAAACATGAGTTTTCAGACGAAACTGCATCTAGACCCCGAGAGTCATTGTATGTTAATATTCGCAAAATATTAAAAACACAAGCATCTAGCTGATTAGAAGCGTTTTAGGTGACAGGATGAACAACAAAATTGTTGGTCCTTATTGTGTAAGCAAATGCTTGGAGCACAACAATAAATAGACTGAACCGAACTTATTTGTGTCAGACTAGAACTAAAACAGGATATAATGGTCATTTTTTTACCATTGCCACATAATACATATATTAAGTGCCAGTTTCGGAACACAATTTTAAATGGATTTGATATAATGTCCATATTCCATAAATTAAAGAAGAAGGGAAATTAGATGGGCAATTAAAGCTCCAAGAATTTCAGCTTAATCAAAGCCGACCCCTATTCATAGAATGAAAATCAGATTTAAATTTTTTGACATTGGCATTTAAAAATATCTCCTTAAATCATTTTACTTCATGCCTTGACTCACAGACACGACATCCGCTTGCTCAAACATACACTTGTTTATTTTCGAACGCATAAAAATTTATATTTGACCAGTTAATTGTAGAACTATAAGGGTTTTTATGTTTCATATTTGTAAGTCGACCTCGCTCATAGTGAACAGCCAGGAAGTGCGAATTTACTAAAACTTCCCTTTTAATAGGTGACTACGTTTTTTCGTATTTTACCATGCTTAATAGTTTCATAAAAGCAAAATAAATTAATCTGTTTTATCGCATCATTTTCACCGACTCGTGCGTTTTGGTCATATATAAGTAAGGTCGTTCTAAGTTGTGCCGGTCGTTTTGGTTGTGGTAAGCGTGCGTCTGTTCGTAATCTTTATTTTGGTCGTTTTTTGCTTTCACCAATTTGCATCAAGACGCAATTTTGGCTAGTAGAAAGTGAAGGGCAATTTATTTTTCATGCATTTAGTTTACTGATCAACTGCTGTGAAAATGTGGGCACATGTCGAAATGGGACCCCCTGATGCCATCCTTGGCATCACGGAAGCCTTTAAACGTGATACAAATTGTAAAAAGGTAAATCTTGGTGTCGGAGCCTACCGAGATGATGATTGCAAACCGTGGGTGCTGCCCTCCGTCCGCGAGGCAGAGAAGCGTATCCTTTCTCGGAATTTAGACCACGAGTACCTTCCAATCACTGGTCTTGCCTCGTTTTGCAAATCAGCGATTGAGTTTGCGCTAGGTCCAGACTGTCCTGCTCTTAAGGAGGAGCGTGTAAGTCGATTTCTTTGTTCTAAATGCTGATGCGTTTCCACAAAGAAAATTAAATTTTTGCCTTTATAGAATGCCACAGCCCAATGCCTTTCTGGCACTGGGTCTCTCCGAACCGGAGCTGAATTTCTGGGTCGTTGGACCAAAGTTAAGGAAGTCTGGTTTCCTAAACCAACTTGGCCCAACCACGTTGCTATATTTAGGAATGGTGGGATCACTAACATTAACTACTACCGCTATTACGATTGCAATACCTGTGGCCTCGATGAAGCCGGGTGGCTGGAAGACATTGCCAAGATTCCAGAAGGTGCCATTATTTTGTTGCACGCCTGTGCCCACAATCCAACCGGCGTTGATCCAACCAAGGAGCAGTGGAAAAAAGTTGCCAAGATTATCAAAGAACGCAACCTTATCCCCTTCTTTGACATGGCTTACCAGGTGGGCGGTAAATTTAAGAAAATACCAATATTACCAAGAGGCTGTTACTTATACGTGTGAATTGTGCTAGGGCTTCGCTTCAGGCGATCCTGACCACGACGCCTGGGCCTTGCGTTACTTCGTTAATGAGGTCAAGCCGAAGACGCTGCTGTTGGCTCAGAGCTTCGCCAAAAACATGGGTCTCTACGGTGAAAGATGCGGCGCATTTACTCTCATCTGTGAGTCGAAGGAGGAGGCGTGTCGCTGCATGTCTCAGATCAAAATCCTCATCCGCCCATTGGTGAGTAACCCACCACTCTACGGAGCTCGTATCGCCTCTGAAATTCTCAATGACCCTGAACTCAAGGCGATGTGGTAAGTACCGTGAATGTGTGTACTACCCAGTACTCTTTGCTTTTCAACACCAAGTTTTTTTATTTGCTGGCCGCAGGCTCAAGGATGTGAAGGTGATGGCGGATCGAATAATTAGCATGCGACAAGCTCTGAAAAGTGGCCTCGCGCGCGAGGGTTCAAAGCATTGTTGGGACCACATTACGAAACAGATTGGGATGTTCTGTTACACTGGTCTGAAACCCGATCAGGTAACCTATCAGGCTGTCTCTAAACCTCTAAGACGCTCGTGTTTTGAAGAGTCGAACGCTTGTCTCCTAGGTTGAACGACTGACGAAGGAGTTCTCCATCTACCTGACGAAGGACGGGCGCATCAGCGTAGCCGGTGTCACCTCCAAGAACGTCGACTACCTTGCTCACGCCATGCACGAGGTGACCAAGTAGACGTTTCCGTCTGTGCCTTTTTTTAACCCAAGCAGATGGTGCCAAATAATAGCAGCTTTTTTCATGCCTTGAATAAACTTGTTTGTACTGCCTGTTTTCGACGTTCTGCAAAGCAGCTAAGATTCTTGCTGTTACCAAGTACCTGGCTATTGGATTCTTTATTTCATTATCGATTACTTTGGGTGATACAAGTCAACTCCAAACCACAGGCATCCGTTTTGCCCTTTAAAACACCTCTGACTACCGGTTTTGTTGGGAAATAGGCCGCTATTAAGGTCATTTACACGTGTTTATTGGTCCCCGTAGGCGTGTGCTGAGTTCAGCAGTTGGTCAGACTCTTCGGGAACTAGTTATCGTCCTCAGGTGTCACGGGCGACATCCAGGTTGTGAATTACGTGATATAATCGAACGAGGGCTTCTCAATTCAGATAAACTAACAGTATAAATGATTTGGTGACGATCAGCAAGCGGACGCTGTTATCAAGCATGAGTGAACACAAAGCCAGCCAGTCGATGTACTGGAATGCAATTCACGTAGCCATGCCCGATAAGAGAGTGATTTCAAGACATCTCACGAGTCACCATTACAACCTGCGAGCGGAAGGCGAACATTGTGTACTTGAGACATAATGTACCCCCTTACGTAAAATCACTAAAGTGAATTCCACGTTTGTAGTCATGGAAGACTTCATGATTGCCGACAAGTATTGATTCGTAGGCGATGACAACCGTGGAAGACAGGAATCTTCCACCTGTGGATGATCGAATCTTACGAATCATCAAAGATTTTTGATTCGAATACTGCCTACATTTAACCCGTATTAACATCCACCACTGCCGGGGCAATGCAATCAATAAATAGAGCAGGGATACGTGTGTTGATTGGCTGCAATTTTTAGCAACTACAGAAAGGCTTGCATCTTCGTTGTCTCAGACATTCCAAATAGACTTTTCGATTTTATCTGCTAGCTAAAATCGACTCAGTACATGAGAGCCACCTGCTTAATTACCAGGATGTTTTAAATTGGCGGAAAAGCCAAAGCGGCAGGCTGAATAATGGACGCAGAATAACGTCTCCAGGAGGCGTTTCCCTTCACGCCCTGCTGCGTCGAAATTTGTGTCACGGAATGAAGAGTTATTGACTTCAAATGTGCGATCGATTTCCTTGCAAACTCTTGCTCAACTATGAACGCTTTCGTGAAGCAAACACGTCGAGTATTAGGGCAGCCGGCCATGCGATTTGCCGACGGTGTCAGTACTTATTAACAGATGAAAACGTTATTTGAGTTCTTTTCTCTATTTGCTGGAAGCTGTTCGAAGCCCCTTGGTTCATGCGTTGACGATTTCTGGCGTTGTGTGAGATGGTTTGAGTGGAATCTCCAACACCACTCGACTTGAGGGTGACGCTGATCGGTAGCGAAATCGTAGGTCCCTTGAAGATTATAGGCCGCGATTAGGATAACTAAGTCACAAGTACAGTCGTCGGCTAATAGTCAGTGGGTGACATGGCGATGTGTGCTGCATGTTGTGGCATGTGCGCACGCATTCCTACCGTGGGTGTCAATTGGGGGTGACTAGTTTCCGGATATCCCATGCCACACGCACAAAACACTCCACGCGGATTACGCGTTCTGGCCTTAACCCTCTGCGTCACCACTTGAAACCCCCTTTAGTCTGAGAAATCGAGGTTGGAGTCACCCAAAACATGCTCTATTGTGCAACCCTGGAGTCGCCCAGAGCGATTAGATGCTTCGCCCTCTCTAGATTATCAATCAGTTAGACAATTCAGGACAATGTTCCGATTGAACTGACAGTGCCAAGTCACATCAGGCGAACAAGGAAACACGTGAAGTAGGTACAAAGTAGGACTTTGTGGCAAATTACCAAATTTGTCCGTGAAATACAGGAGTCGCTTGAGTGAATGGACCTGAGGCGATACTACCAATCAGGGCGCCCCAGCAGCTTGGCTGGATCGGTCAATCTGGAGATGATTGGTGGATGTGGCTCCCAATCGTTGGCTCCCTCGTGCAGCCAATCGTCGTCATTTCCAAGTGTCCTGGTAATGCGTACACCCAAAGTGCGCAAACCACAATGGATTAATAGTTGTGGGCACCTGGTCTAGTGTGGGGCCTGTTGATTGGACGAAAAAAACTCCTGCTTCAACCAGCGTGAAACGAGGAAAGGCGGTCATTGGTCGCTTCCTCCCGTTGGAATTCAGTGAGTCTAGGGGACACCGAAAACGTCAGAGATCTCCAGGAACAGATCGAAGTGTCGAAAAGCACCAAATAACAGCGAATGTATGACACTTTATTCAAACAAGCATTAATTCTGGATTTCCTTACGTCCGTATTTAAGTCATAATTTCAAGTGAATTAGTGGGTTGGCAAGACCACTTCCAGCCCTGTTTAGGGCAGGCTAAGCACGAAAATTCGGAATTTCTTATGGTTTTTTATTTACCTAAATCGTGGAAAGTTGCTGAGGCGTGAACAGGACACTGGATTTTACGACGATAAAAGACGGATGACGCAATTGGGTCGGATCGTGGTCCCTCATCGATAAACCATAATTGGCATCCTTGAGGAGAGAAGTGTGTTCATCGGCATCACGCACCTCCGCCAACATCAGAAATATCGCCTGAAATCCTACTTCCACTGACCACGATCACCAATCTACGCAGCACCTCGAATCTTGCCAATGTGTGGGGTTTGCTGTAGGCAGAAACTTGTGTGCGTAACTCGTCTCAAACTTCGCTGTTACCACCACACTGTATCGATCTGATCAAGAAGACCGGATGGCTCAAGTTAGCTGTGTTGTTGATATGTGCGCGCGTTTGTATTGGAAGTTAGGTATGGCTAACGCAGTTGTTGACTGAGATAAATTAATGAGTGGGGAGATGAGCAGTGGGGGTTGGGGTGTGTGCGCAGGTGGTTCCTTGAGGTGTACGAAGACGCTGTGAAATGGGGGGCGGTGCGTTAGAGTTGGTGGACGTGAACCAACACGATTCACTGCACAACACGGCAGTACTTACGACGTGCGTCGTCTACCATGACATCAGTAGAGCGGACCAATTAGAGTGCAAGCTTGATGAACCGATACCAACAACGCACCACAGAGGTGCTGTGTGTCGTCAACTTCCGGAAAATTGGTATTCCAACCGAGCTCGGCCATCGTATGCCGAAAATGGCCCGGCAGAGACCTGGCCTCAGCCAATCAAATTACGGCAGCCAAACTTGCTGACATTGTGGGAACACCACTGAAACATTCTCCTCCAATCATCTACATACAATTAAAGTGCATGATGCAAATTCACAGGACCGCATAACATGGCGCATAACATCTGCGTCGCAAATTCTATTAATTTAGTACCAATGGCGTCAGTGGATGTTCTGTTAAGGAACGTTGATCTCTAAAGTATGCATTTTTGACGAGTCGAGGTTTGCGTGTGTGTGCTGCAATGTTTAGCTACATCGGATTGCAATTACGCAGTTCTCTAGGTGTGAACAGCACACATTAACAAACACATTTGTGGTGGAGTTTGCGCAAAGGGTGTTGTCTGTGGCGGCCTTTTTGAGTTGAGAGATTTTTCAAGCCAGGGTTGTTAATACTTGATGTTTCCGACTTAATTCCACCCTAACGGGACTTCGACTGGAACTGGAAGGGGGCCGTGGATATCTCAAAAACTGCCATCACCATGTGCGTCTTTCCATCATCATACCGGACTTTGAAATGAGGGAATGCCTTCTCGTTCGCCAATCAAAATCCAGTAGACTTCTGTGAATTGCCAAATCGGTGTGATACGTTGACATTGATCGATTCCGGACCAAATTCCATTGGTTGATTCCACTGGGAGTAGTTCAGACGCACCAAACCGACTTTTTTAACGTTGTTCAGCCCCCGGTGACCTTGATGTTAGTCCTCATGTCTTGACCTTGAATGTGGATCGATTTTTGATCCTAATCGACTCATCGATTCAAACAAGGCCCAGCGTCAATGCTTCGAACAATGATTGGCTGTGCTTGAATCCTAACGAGTTAATGACATACGGAATGATTTTCAGCTGTTTTGTGACATTCTTAATACAATTATGTGACCGCGATTTTTGACTCAGTCATCGTCAAATCTCCAGATCGGACACGAAGTTTTGTCAAGCCATCAAAATCATACACCTCCCACACCTACCTTTAGGAGCCTCAGTATTTCCCTAGCCTGTATTGCTAGAATAGGTAGACTACACCCCCACTAGTGGTTCTCAGATGATGGTAATTGAAGTATTACCAAAAGTTCCTCAAATTTGGCCTAATTCAATCTGTGAAAACCGAAATTTGTTTCCCGCAGACCTATTTTACCGATAATTGGCAGGTTACGAAGCGCACACGCACACACACGTGCCTTCCTTGATTAAACAAAAAACCAAATAAACAGTTTCCTTGGAGTGTTACACAAATGAAAGAGCGCGCAGTAGGTTTTGACATCATAAGCCACGTCAACCGTTTATGTGGATTGTTCTGATAACATAAGGCGGTGAATCAGAAGCCATTTGCGTAAATAATATAACTACCAGCGGAAACACCAACCTAACTACTTATTTAGATTTCAGTGACCGGGTGAACCACCCAAGTCGTCAATACGTCGCTCTGGGTGGTGTCGGGGTGTGGCGGAGTTGGCTTTGCACACCCTGGTGTCGCGAGGGGTGTGCGCGGGGGGCGGGGCGTACGTGACACCTGATAAACAGTCTCCGGGGGTCCAGGGTAACGCAGAGGCTGAAAATCCAGAGGTGCAACTAATGGGCACTTGTCATCACAAGTGGCCTGAACTGTTACCAACTCCGCAAGATTTGAGATGGATCGCTAAGCCCCGACACGACAACGATCTACGGATTCGACGAATCCCACACACACACATTCGTGACGAGAGACGACAGAATAAAAAAAAAAACTAATTAGAGTGGAGTTGGTACTTAACTTATGGGTACTACAACAGGGTAACAACTTCACGTTATTAAAAATAAAAGCCATTTCGCCACCGAAGGCGAAAAAAAGAGCGTACAAAGCAGTTAACAACGTGATAAACATATTTACAGCGTCTTGATAAAACCAGTGCACGAGCGAGTGCTATGTACACAAACAAAGCAATCTGTTTAAAGGCCTTCCGGCGCGTCCTCAAGGTCATCGGTGGTCTCGTCGGAGCTTCCGCTGTCGGCTGCTTCAGGTGCCTCCGTAGACCCCCTCGTTTCCACTTCCTCGTCACTTCTGACGTCCTCCTTTGAACCAGTTCGACAACGCAGCTTCCCGTGCTGGGTACGAGGTCGAAAAGCAATATCATCCTGGTGGTTTGTGGGATCTGGCGAGTTACTGCGATCGTCGCTTTGTTCGTCGACGTCGTCATCATCGTGAGACTGGGAGCAAATCAGATTCACAGGGCTCGGACCGGAGGACTCAACACGAGAGCGCTTCGTGCCACGCGTGGGCCGGAAGATAATTCTCGCGGGTCGGTCATCATCACCCAAATCCTCCACCGGCTCCGACTCACTCGCCTCCTGTAATGTAAAACACTACTGATAAAGCAAAAGTAGGAACAATTTTACACACAAATTAAGTGGCCGTGGTCTGACCTCGCGTCGACGTCGCAGTTCACGCATGAGGTCGGCGGCGATCTTTCTGTTGGCCTGGCCACCCAATCCGGCGTCTTCATCGACGTCCGCGAGGCTGTAGTGGGTCCATTTTTGCGAGTCGCGTTTTGTGGCATCGGTGACGTGGTGAGATGCACGCGCAGGCCTCTTGCGTCGCAGTGCCGAACGCGGCGGTGGACAATCAGGTACCTTGAAGAGGACCTCCGTGGTGTTGTCGACTGGGGGTGCGGATGCGTTCTGTTTCTCACGCTGCAAGATTTTTTGAAAAAAAACCCGCCGAATTAGCCCCTCGATTAAAAGATAGAAGCTGATTGGATGAGGAGAGTGGAACTCGGTCAACGAGATCACGGTAACGTCGAGGCTGCAAGCCATTGTTGTTGGCAATTGTGATCGTTTACACTGGATAATCCAAGCGCCCCGACACACACTCCGCCTCACACAACGATATGGTAAGCAGCTGTGTCGTCGCCACCTCTGGTCTTATAGAGCGGTTACGAGGGGAGCGTGGTGGGACTACATTTAACCAAGTGCCCCCGGTGTTGGATGCAGATCGACCTCCTATGAGTTGACAATTGGCGATCCTCTGGCGGAACTTGTGGTGTGGCGACTCTCTGTGTCCCACACCCCTTTGTTCCACATGAAACCCTGTCCGATTTTAGGTCCTGGTTGCGTGTCATCACCTCTGGACGACGCCTCATCACTCGGACCACGCTTTTCACACACACACACACAAAACGTCCCACACGACACAACGACAACACCTTGCTAAGCTGCCCAGCAAACGGCTGTGTCTCCGCGCTCTCCCTTATCTTCGCTGGCATTAGGGTAAAATAAGAACCACCCCACAAGATCATACATGAATAAGGCGTCGTAAGGTGTCAGCCACTCAAAAAGCCAAAGAGGCGCTAAATCCTCCTACGCACCTGCATTGTTTCAATGCTGAGTCTCATGATGACAGTCATTTGAATTTTCGTGTTGCTTCACGGGTTCGGGGTGTGGAAATTAGCGTAGACGTCCAACTCTAGAAATGCCCGTGAAAAAGCCACTGAGGACTAACTGTGTGATCATCGAAACTGTGTCGTGTAAATCTGAGGGGAGGGGAGGGTCAAGCAATTCGACGTGACTGTTCTGGGGGAGGGGGCATTTGAGGACAATGCAAGTCAACAGATTGCTGAAGGCACAAACGGCACAGCCAAATTGGCTAACTGATTTCGGAAGGGAGCGAAATTCCAGAAACGGTGCTTATTCAAACCGATCTACGCATCAGACGGGAAGTGAGATTTCCGGAACTAATTATTGTGAGGTCAAAAGTTCACCATATAAACCACCAAATTCGGCTGTGCGTCTCAGTTAAGTAAGGTGTGACCTAGAAGTGTGTATGTCCTCAATAGCACACACCTCAAGAACAGAACCTACACCGTTTCAGTGTCTGTGTTACGACCAAGATGGGCAGAAAGCCGTAAACCCAGCGAACAGATTCGGAATCAAATACACACTAAGCAAAAGCGAAGCAAGTACTACCCAATATTATTTATTTTTGTCAGTGGCTTTGAAATTTGGCTAAATATAAGGCAGTTGCGGGCATATAAAACTAAATAACAGGCAACAAGAAACAACTACACTAAAACCAGCGAAAAAACAACTGACTTATACCCGACTCAGGCTCCAAAAATGCCAAGCGAACAGAAAAGCGCATATCAGGGTTTATTTGTCTGTTTTGGGAGGGCTAGGGTAAATTCTGGCAAGAGCAAATACTCACAGCTTCTTTGTCCGCCTCCAGAGATTCTGCGGCCGGTTTTGTTTCTTTCCATGCCATTTTCTTGACCAAATGACGCTCAGATCTGGTTTCCTTGGTAACCTTATTGTGAGCATCTTCAAGAGCTTGTAGTCCACCGAATACATCCAGTTGTCGCTGAGAGAAAAGTGAAGTGGAACCACGCAGAACAAAGGGCGCTGGTGCACCCGATGAATTGCTTTTTGGGTCGGACATCTATAATGGACGAAAACCACTTGTCAGACTAAATATCGCTACAATACCCATATTTACATGTCAACAAGCATTATAGACTTGCTTAAACGGAACTGAAACTATTAAAGGAAGGTTCAGAATTTCAGACAAATCACCATTTTCCTAACGAAACGCAAAGCATTCAATTTTTATACCTTGCATATTGAACAGGAACTACAAATGATGAAACGTCTTAAGCAATAACATTCATGTCACTAGCAAAGGATGCCCAAAACACATGATTAGGTAGCACAATAAGCGAAATAAAAAGCATGCAGCCGCATTCTACAAGCACTAGTTCTTAAATAAATGCAATTACCTAAGCGTCGTGAAACTAAACTAGACATTGTTGCAAGCGCAATGAGAAACCGAAATGCAGGCGATATATAAAAAAAAATTAATGAACCAACTAATTAGCGTATAACCTGTGCAATGACACAGAACCACACCAAAATCAGAATAAGCGGCTTCTCGTCGTAGTTTAAACTAGTACTTAAAATTGTTAAAAAGGAGCAAATGGGAAGAACACACGCTGACCACTAATCACTTAAACACCTACCTCTACTAATTCAGAATAACGAAGACGCGGTTCTGAATAACAGTTTTAAAACAAACATTTTCCAAACCACTAATATAATGCAATGTAATCAATTTTTTCCAATATTTTAAATTTTATTTTGTCAAACATAGCTTGGTTTCAGATTTTATGTGTCATATTATGGTAATATTACCTTTTAATAAAAAAGAACGATAATCTTTACAAAACGCACACCTCTTGAAAAAATTTTTGACGCTTTTGTACAGTGTAAATAATAGACGCAGAATTACTTGTCGAGATAAATGAAATGAATATTGCCATTTTGTGAAGGTCAAAATCTGCAATTGGCCGAGATAAATCGTTCGTCTGTAGAATACCCGAGCCCTAATAGGTAAAAGACCGGTGTAACAGAACAGACTTTATTGACCAATCGGAAGCCAGAGCCACACGTCAGGCGACTTCCATCCGCGTCCACCACGCTGGCCACGCCGCTCATTTTATACTGCATCTCCTACATGTCCTTCTCTGGTTGGCTGCCTTCCTTTCCTGCAAGCCATTGGATCGCAGAGAGACACGGGATTGGTTGAGGCCAGGTTGCCCAACATGTCTGCGCCCTGATCCGACGCCACTGTAGAATACCCGAGCCCTAATAGGTAAAATACCGGTACAACAGAACAGGCTTTATTGACCAATCAGAAGCCAGAGCCACGCGTCAGGCGCCTTCCATCCGAGTCCT